CCTTCCCTCTCTCTCTATATATATAAACTCATTGCCGTCAAGTGGATCCGGACATATAGTGACCCTAAACGACAGAGTAGAACTGCCCCATAGGGTTTCCAAGGAGCAGCTGGTGGTTTCGAACTTCCGACCTTTTGGTTAGTGGCCGAGCTCTTAAGCCACCACACCACCAGGGCTCCACAATAAAAGAGGAAAAAAAAAAATCTAGCAAAGCATGTTATTTACAATGATGGAAGTGAATAGTCAACAAAATGACGACAGAAAAGGATGTGATTCAAAGAGAAAAGGACTCGGTCGGGAGGAGTTGCCCACATGGCGACTGGATTTTCAGTGAGAGTCTATCTGATGGTTGAAACCATGTAGATGTGCGGTAGACAGAATAATGTTCCCCCAGAGATGTCCACATCCTACTCCTGGAAACCAGTGACTGTGTTACCTTATACAGCAAAGGGGACTTTGCAGGTGTGATTAAGGATTCTGAGATTTTTTTCTGGATTATCCAGTGGTCCCAGTGTAATCACAAGGGTCCTTGTAAGGGGAAGGGTCAAAGTCAGAGGAGGCCACATGATGATGGAAGCAGAGGTTGGAGTGATGTGACCACGAGCCAAGGAATGCAGGTGGAAAAGGCGAGAAAACCGGTTCTCCCCCAGAGCCTCTAGGAAGAAAGCAGCTGTGCTGACACCTTGATTTTAGCCCCGTCGGGCCCTTTTCAGGAAGAACCAGTCCCTGGAGAGGGACTTCATGCTCGGGAAAGTAGAGTGTCAGCGAAAAAGAGGAAGACCCTCAATGAGATGGATTGACACAGTGGCTGCAACGATGGGCTCAAGCATAACAATTGTGAGGATGGTGCAGGACCAGGCAGCGTTTTATTCTGTTGTACATAGATAGGGTCGCTATGAGTCGGGACCAACTCAGCAGCACCTAACACACACGCAGATGGGAAAAGGTATTCACGTTAGTATGCTTCAGGGGAGAAAGACCTGGCCATCTGCTCCTGTAAAGATCGTAGCCTAGAGAACCTTATAGGGCAGTTCTACTCTGTTACGTGGGGCCGCTGTGACTCAGCATTGATTCTGTTGCACCTAACAACAACCACATTTTGGACTTCTGACCTCTAGAACTGCAAGATAGTAACTTTGCATTGTTTTAAACCACTAAGTTTGTGGTAATGGGTTACAACAGCAGTGTTATTTTTGGGTGCTGTGGAGTTGATTCTGACTCATAGCGACTCCATGTGACAGTAGAACTGCCCCACAGGGGTTCCTAGGTTGTAATGTTTATGGGAGCAGATCACCAGGTCTTTCTCCCACGGAGCCATTGGGTGGGTACAAACTGCCAGCCTTTTGGCTAGCAGCTGAGCGCTTAATTATTGTGCCACCAGGGTTCCTTATAGCAACAATAGGAAATACAATATACATTAATTTTATTTTTAAAAAATTAAATACTGTAAAAGAAAAAATTTTCCAAATGTGACAGATACCAAAACTGCCTGGGTTTCCTTTCTCTGAGCTGTCCTCCAGTCTACCCGCTACTCCCCGCGAGTGGCCATCCAGTCACCTCCCACTCATGACAACACCACGTGTGTCAGAATAGAACTCCTCTGTAGCATTTTCTTGTCTGTATTGCTTATGGAAGCAGATCACCAGGCATTTCTTCCATGGCACCACTGCATGGATTTGAACTGCCAACCTTTAGGTTAGTAGCCAAGCGCAGAGCATTTGTGCCACTCATTGACCTGGCTGTAAAACTCACATGCTCAGATCCTGGTATCCCTTACAGCTAGCAATGGCTGAGTGGACAGTCCTGGCCTGTGAGATGAGGCGTAGAATCTTGTCCAAGAACTACCAAGTGTTGCTGGGAGGAAATCTCCTCCTCATCCTTGCCTCTTCTTCCTACCTGCACAAGCCTTCTTTTGACTTTGAGGCTTCATCTGACCGAGAGCAGAGGCTGATGTGCAGAGGATGGTGGAGGAGAGAGGTGGACAGCTCCCCGGATCACATGGCCGAGATGCTTTATCAGACCGGACAGCCCACTCCTAGATGCCCATTATGAGAAACAACCTCTGTTTCTTTCTTTCTCTTTTCCTTCCTTTTTTTTTTTTCTTATTGTGGTGAAAACATACACAGCAAAACATACACCAATTCAACAACGTCTACGGGTACAATTCGGGGACATTGATCACACTCTTCAAGTTGTGCAGCCATTCTCGCTATCATTTTCCAAATTATCCCCCCACCATTAACAGAAACATAAATTCACTGCTCCCTAAGCTAAAGCTCCCCCTGCCCCCCTTGCTGCCACTCCTGATAACCACTGATAGTCTTTGGCTGCTATGTATTTGCTATAGAGCCTGGTGCCACAACAGTCAAGCGCTCTGCTGCTAACCCAAAGGTTGGCGGTTTGAACTCTCCCAGCAGCTCCATGGGAGAAAAGACCTGGCTCTGCTCCTGTAAAGATTACAACCTAGACCGCTTCTGTCCAGAGATGGGATGAGACGGCAGAGAGGGTCAGGAGCTGGTTGAACGGACGCGGGAAATGCAGGGTGGGAAGGAGGAGTGTGCTGTCACAGTATAGGGAGAGCAATTAGGGTCACATAACGATGTATGTATAAATTTTTGTATGAGAGACTAACTTGAATTATAAACTTAAAGTACAACAATAAAATTAAAAAATAAAAAAGATTACAGCCTACAAAACCCTATGGGGAGGTTCTCCTCTGTCACATGGGGTCGCTATGAGTCAGAATCAACTCGACAACACCCCGTGACAGCAGCAGAAAGTACAAAGGAGGCAGAGGAAAGTTCTTTGCAAACACAAGGCCAGTCAGAGCCATGGGGACAGGAACATGGCCTGGTTTCCTGCTTGTCCCAGTTAGGAGACCACCTTCTCATTCGGCTCTGTCCCCTGTAAGCTTCACCATGTTCCCCTGTCACAGGTAACGTGTGCATCACCTGCATTTGACTGTAAGTTCATTGAGGACAGCAACCCTGCTTTTCTATATTTGTTATTGCTGTCAACTGCTGTGGAGTCCACCCCTGACTCACGGCAGCCCCATGCACAACAGAATAAATCCCTGCCCGGTCCCATGCCATACCTGTGATTGGCTGCAGCTCAGACCATTGTGATCCACAGACTTTTCACTGGCTGATTTTCAGAAGTAGATCACCAGGCCTTTCCTCCTAGCCTGTCTTAGTCTGCAAGATCTGCTGAAACCTGTTCAGCATTACAGGAACACACAAATCACCACTGACAGATGGGTGGTCGCTGTGCATGAGGTGCATGGGCTGGGAATGGAACATGGGCCTCCCTCACGGGAGACGAGAATTTTACCACTAAACCACCAATTTGACCTCTTTCATATTTACATTTCCTTATTCAAAGCCCAGTGCCTGGGCTATGAGAAATACTCAGGTCCCCGGAAGACGTGGCCTCCGGACTTTCTGTCGGCCCAAAACTAAAACCATTCCCGAGGCCAACTCTTCAGACAAAGATTAGACTGGACTATGGGATGTAAAATGATACTCACGAAGAGTGTGCTTCTTAGCTCAAGTAGATACATGAGACTAAATGGGCAGCTTCTGTCCGGAGCTGAGATGAGAAGGCAGAGAGGGTCAGGAGCTGGCTGAATGGACACGGGAAATCCAGGTGGAAAGGAGGAGTGTGCTGTCACAGTATAGGGAGAGCAGTTAGGGTCACATAGCAATGTATGTATAAATTCTTGTGTAAGAGACTAACTTGAATTGTAAACTTTTACTTAAAGCACAACAATTTAAAAAAAAAAAAAACCCTCAGGGAAAAAAAAAAAAACCCCTCAGGAGAACTCTGCAGCATTTCCAGCAAGAGTAATGCAGCTTTAGAAATAATCACTCGTAGTGACCCTGTAGGACAGAGTAGAACTGCCCCATATGGTTTCCAGGGAGTGGCTGTTGGATTTGAACCTCCTGTCTTTCGGTTAGCAGCCGAGCTCTTAACCACTGTGCCACCAGCTAGCCAGAAATTATTAGAGTCTTTGACCCTTTTTTCTTCCAAGTGGTCTAAATGAAGCAAATTCATCCAATTCACACCGAGCCCTGGGCCCAGTTAATTTCCCCAGGCCGGTGAATTCACAGTCTCTGGGTCCGGGACCTGGCAGCGTGGTTTAGAAAGCTCCCCAGGGGCATCTAATGTGTCTCTGGTGTGGATCACCAAGTGGGTATGAGGGCCTTTTAGAGGCAGCTGTGGTTTTGTAGGAAGGCCTCTCACCTTGGAAGACAAAGTCCTGTGTTTGGGCCAGAGGCCAGAGCAAGAGCATTAACGGGATGAGTGGCTTCAGCTGGATAGAGACCTCTGCA